GACATCTGGTGAAAATTTCATGTCATTAGCACCTTTAGTAATATATTTACTGAGAAAAATGGTGATGTGTTCAATACTTATTTTACCCGCTGTATGTAGTGAGGACAGGGACAGGGTTTTCACACACATACACTAAAGACACAACAAAAGTCTCACACGGCTCTAATGAACTGTAATTATTTTATTGCCTCTTCAAAGCAGAAGGGTTTTGATAAATGACCATATTTCAGCCATGTGTTTTTTTTTTTCTTTTTGTTCTTTGTTTCAGTGCTGATTTGTAGCTTTTAGTGAGGTGGAAACAGACCATCACGAGCTGAAGAAAAGCAGCAAACAGTGAGGCAGGAGTAAGAGCCTGAAGCCACGGGGGTCTGATCGATTAGTGTGACATCAAACACAAACTGCTGACAGAACTTTTGTAAACAGGAGCCTCAGTTACACAGTCACTGAGTGACTTCCTGACTTGGAGAGAAGTTTAAAATTCAGCTTTTTTAAACCATTAGTCTGTCAGCAAGCAGCTGTTTGTTTGTCACTGACTCACCTCATTAAAGAGAGCAGAAAGTTATGTGGTGAGAATAAAAGGAGGCCTTGAGGAGCCATTAAAGGTTAATATTCAGTTAAAGACGAGCTGCAGAGGTGGTGCAGGGATTGGAACAGAAAGACAGCCTCCAGCCGGCCTACCTGTTGGTGCTGTAGTCCATCCCCCCCACCTGCTTGCTGGCCTGCAGCAGGTCCAGGATCCCCGCAGCGCTGCCGCTCTTCTTCTTCACTTTAGAGTTACGACCTTTAACCTCGGGCTTGGCCTCTGTGTCTATGTGCAAAGTCTCTTCATCTGATGAGTCCATGCTCTGCTTGGTGAGGAAGAGGATGGAGGTTAAAAACCAAGTGTCAAATATGAGGATTCATCCAGTTTGAAGAATCTGTAGTGCTAAAAGAAAACCCTTCATCTAATGATGTTAGAACTGCTTCATTTCATGACTTCTGTCAGAGTAGATTCAAAACAACCATGAGTCAACAATCAGTTTGCTCTTACAGAGATGGTTTTCAATATATACAACTTTCTTAGTTTGAGTTTTTGGAAGCAGGGTGTATACCATCGTGTTTTGTGCACTGAAGAGTAATTAATCCGATTATAAGTTCTTCACACTAATTACTATCAAACTACGAGCAAACTACAAACTACATTCACGTGTTACGTACCTTAGTGACCAAAGGCTGGAACTTTGTTTTTTTGGGTGGAGGAAGAGGTTCTCTGATCTCTGATAAAACTAAAACAAACAAGAAAAACTTCATGAAGCAACAACAAGTTCTGTGTGAGTCTTGTGTACAGTGGAGCTGGAAAACAATACACAACATTTTAATAATCTGTTTATTTTCCTCACAGTTTCCCAACAGAGCTGCTGCATTTCCGCTCTGCAGTTATAAAGTTATAAAGTTATGCAGAGGAATAAACAAGGAAATGGTCTTGGACCTCAGACCTGTGATGGACCTTTAAAGGGACAGAACTCTGTTCCACTTAAGACTGAATTTAGGCCACCTCAGGTCACCTTAACTTGTCAAAGAGACATTCTTTTTTTCTTAATCAGATAATAAACAAAATAATCTTCTTTTTATTTGATTTATTTTCTCTTAACTGAAATTTATTATGCATTTTGATAATCATCAATGTTTATCAAAGTTCCAGGAGGAAACAGGCTTTTCTCCCTCAGTATGATTTCAGCTATGTATGGATTTTCTGTTAAAATGTGTTATTTAAAGGGGCAATATCATGTAAAATCGACGTTTTTGAGTTTTATATCATGTTATAATGTTATACTCTCATAAAAAACATGATCAAAGCCTTGCTTTGACTCATTCATGCATGTTTGAGAAATCCTGCAGTGTTTTTAGGAAGCCATGCTGAGGAGCAAAACGACAGGTGGGGACCAGGAATGCCTTTTGGTACCAAAAAAGCCCCTGGGACGTGTCTTTAAGCCAAACTTCCTCATGGCAGAGCTCACCCCCTCCCCCTCTCCCCACACCCCGCCCATGACTCCTGCAGGCTCTCGGGTCAAAGTGAAAGTGAAACCTAGCTGCTGAGCTTTCAACATTAGTTCTCACTCAGTGAAGCTCTTTTCAGATTAAAAATACCTTTGAGGAAATGTATTTTCAGATGCCAAGTAAACTGCATCATAGCGCACGCGCAAACCCCCACCCCCCACCGAACAGGATGGAATAGAAGCAGAAGGAGGTTCTTAAAGAGACAGAGACTAATTTCAAGGCATTTAGAAGAGGAAGTGATGAGAAGATAAGTTTATTTTTTTATTTAAACATAAAAACAGCATTTTAATAACAGCTAAAGGTGACATAGATACTTTATTATGGTATATTACTTAAATATATGCCTGAGAAACACATAATATTGGTACTATTCTAACCAATAACAAATAAATAGAATTAATGTACACATTTAAATTTCAAAATGATCAAGGTAAAACTTGTAGTTTAGTTTAGACTTTATTGAACGTAATGANAGGTGACATAGATACTTTATTATGGTATAGTATTTAAATATATGCCTGAGAAACACATAATTTAGGCCCTTTAACTAAACCAATCTTTATGTTTTAAGTTGATGAAACATCAATGTTTGTCTGATTCATATTGCAAATGTTTGAACTTGAAATAATTCATTCTTTCAGCTATGTTTTTAAAGAGTTCTCATCAGAAAATAACTAAACATATCATGACTTGTTTATTTTCTAAAACTCATAACCTGCATGTTCTGTTCTGTGGGAGGAAACCAGAGCACTCTGAGAAAACCCACACAAGCACTAGGAGAACATGCAAACACCACACAGAAAGACCCCAGGTCCAAACTAGGGATCAAACCCACGACCGTCCTGCTGTGAGGAATCTGTGCTGACCACTGAACCATCGTGTTGCCACAGTTTGGCTGTTATTAGAAAGGCAAAATAGTATCTGCTCAACAAACTGCCATTCAAGATACCCAGTATTAGTTTAGAGGTGGGCAGTAACTACTTACATTTACTTGAGTAACTTTTTGGAAAACATTCTTTTAGGAGCACTTTTACTACGCTGTACTTTTACTACGCTGTACTTTTACTACGCTGTACTTTTACTACGCTGTACTTTTACTACGCTGTATTTTTACTACGCTGTACGTTTACTACACTGTACTTTTACTACACTGTACTTTTACTACACTGTATTTTTACTTGAGTAATTTTATTATGAAGTACCACTACTCTTGCTTGAATTAAATTTCTGGAAACTCTACAAGCTGTGAGTAACTTGACTGAAGAACAAGATTGTTTTCATCAAAACACACACACCTACTGTGTCTCTCTATCCTTGTGGGGACTTTCCATTGACTTCCATTCAATTTTTTTTGGTAATTTTATATCTTAACCCTGAGCATTTACCCTAAAACTAACCTAAACTCAATTCACACCTTGGTCCTAAACCTAACCCTCGACCCACCAACGGCCTTTCCCCTTAAGGGGACTAGACTCAGGTCCCCATTTTACTGAAATTGTTATTTTGAAATTTTGTTATTTATATGAATTATTTTCATTTTGATCTTTAAAATACCAACATTTTCTCCCAGCGTTAGATTTTGGTCTGTCTGATGATGTCATTTTTAAATATTAAATGTTGTGTTGATCACTTACTCAGTACTTCAGTAGCCTTTTTACCAAATACATCTTTACTCTTACTTGAGTCATTTCTTGGATGGATACTTTTACTTGAGTAAAATTATAAGTAGTGCTACTCTTACTTCAGTACAATTCTACTTCTAGTTACACTGAAACGGTGAAAGTGCTTGCCTGTTATTAAATCTAGGTTTATGTGCCATTTCTACTTGAAATCACACTTTTGGGGCTATGCTTGCAGGAAATAGGGATTCACAACACCACCAAACTCTCCATGAACACCTAGCAGCACAAGTGGACCAGCTGCTAACTGAAGGAACTGGACAGTAGGAAAATAAAAAGGGGCAATCCTAGCAGTCTGTGTGTTGAGGAACAGTCTCTACTACCACACCAGAGCTTAACTCACCATCTGTAAAAAAAACATTTTTGTGATTTCTAAGGCCATCTGGCTGTGGCAGCCATCTTGAATTGGGTTAGATGCTAAAGCTGAGCGATTATAGAGCCAGTAATGAATTTCTGAGAATATCATAAAGGAGTTCATGAGATATTTCTGATCCACCTTCACCTGTCTGTGGCAGGTGATAATTGGGTACATTTATAGTAAATATATATAAAAAATGAACATGGGTAGGTGTAACAGACTCACAGGACAGATCTCTCTTTATAGTGTTCTTTTTTCGCCTGATGGGGAATTCGTCGATCTTCAGCTCTCCTTCATCCGAGACGTACTCGTACTCATCTCTCACTGGCTTGCTTTTATCATCCTTCAGGTTTTGCAACGATCCAAAAACAGTTGAGTTTGTTTGAGGTTTCAGGATCTTGGAGCTGAAAAGGAAATGAAAGAGTGAGAAATTACCTTAAAGGAGATTATTTGGATTTATATTGGTCATCACACAGACACAAATACAAACACACACAACATGTACAACCATACATACCTGGACATTTTTCTGTGAGACATAATGAAGCTGAATCTGTCTTTACTGCCCGACAGCGCTGTTCTGTCAAATTTACACTCCTCTTCCATTTTCAGCAAGGAGTCTGGTTTACTGTTCTGTGAAGTTCCAAACAAACTGGCATTAATAAACTCAGGAGTCATTTAAATCTACACAAGTGACACACACATACAGAACATAAAGCAGGGGTGGGCAACTGTCAGGTGAGTTTCTGCCGGGTGCTCCAGTTTCCTTTCACAGACCAGAGACTCACACGTTAGGTTAGCTGGTAACTCGTGTGAGTGTGTGAATGGATGTTTGTTTCTATGTGCTCCAGTATGTCCCCCTTTATATAAAAGGACCACTGGAGATAGTCAAAGGTCCGAGCAAGCCTGCACGGAAAAGTAGGTAAAAAAAGTCTGGTCCAAATCTGTCTAACTTCATTTCTCAATAGCGCTCAAGTAGATTTAAACAAAGTGTGGCTGCCAAGGTGGGTACAAAGTGGGCCAATGCTGTTGCAATGTGAGCAGAGTAATGTGTGTACAAACGTATGTTTTTCAAGCTGTGAACACAAAAATAAGTGGTGATTTTCAAAAACTCGTAGTTAAAAACGTGACTGCATGCCTCACTGGTTACACTCAGAATTCAGAAAGGCTGCAACAGAAATATTACCTCCTTATTTAACTAGTTTCTGGTTGCTGCCCAGTTAGATACTACCTTTTGGATGGCTGACCCTGAGTACTTGATGATAATAATAATAATAATAATACATTGACTTTAAGTAGCTCTTTTTAGAACACTCAAAGATGCTTGGTTGTAATTAGCAAGGTGGGTGAAGGATCTTGCCCAAGGGCGCAATAACTGAGATTGATGGGACGGTGGATTGAACCAGCAACCCACTGGTTACAGGAAAACTCCCCTAACCAAACCTAAACTCACCCCCCTTCAGTACCTCTACTCTTTGCATCTTCACTGTTCCACCGATCTCTGTCTAAGTCACATTTGAATCCTGGCATGGTATGAGGGTAAAAATTAAGACTATTGATCAACCAGCAGCTTGGTTCTTTTAATAATTATTTTGTAAATGTTGGACCAAGTCTTGCAGCAAAAATACAAAAAGTAGATAAAATTGTGAGTCACAGAGTTATGGATTGTACAAACAGTATTTTCTTGTTGAAACTGAAAAAATATTGAGTATGGTAAAAAGTCTTGCTGACAAAAGATCAAAAGATTGGGTGGATGTGGACATGATACTTGTATAAGATATAATGAATTATGTCATTGAACCATATATCTGTAATTTATCATTTTCAACGGGTACATTTCCAGACAATATCAAAACATCCAAGGTAATTCCTCTTTTTAAAAATGGTGAGAAACATATGTTCAAAACTTACAGACCAATATCCTTGTAACCACAGTTTTCTAAAATTTTATTAAATTATTTGTCACCAGACTGGATCAATTTATCAAAAAACATAATATCTTAAGTAGTAGTCAGTTTGGGTTTAGAGCCAAAAATTCCACATCTTATAGATTTTATGGCACAAATAACAACTGTTGTCGATCAAAAACAGTATTGTGTTAGTAGTTATGTAGAATTTAAAAAAGCATTTGACACAAATGATCACAGTATTCTTCTTGAAAACTTAAGTATGGTAAATATGGTATTAGAGGATATGCACTACAATGGGTATCTAGTTATTTGAAAGATAGGAAACAGTTTGTACAGATAAATGATTTAAGATCTAAACTTGGTAATATCACATGTGGAGTCCCTCAAGGTTCTGTACTGGGACCTAAGTTATTTATTTTATATGTGAATGACTTAGTAAATGTGTCAGGACTTTCAAATGTGTTTTATTTGCTGACGATACAACAGTTTTTTGTTTAGGTAAAGATATAGAAAAAGTGTTTAAGATAGTACAGAAAGAATTTGAGAAAATACAAAATTGGTTTCAACTAAACAAATTGTCATTAAACTTGGATAAAACAAATTACATGATATTTAGTAATAGGAAGACAACTGTTGATTTCTCATTTAAAGAAGATGGTATTGAGATCTGTAAAGTCAGTGAGGTGAAATTTCTGAGTGTCATCATTGATGACAAGCTGACATAGAGACCTCACATACATTATTTGAGAACCAAAATATCTAAATCTATTGGAGTAATGTATAAAGTCAGGGAGTTATTCAATGACAAAGCTCTGCTTGTGTTGTACAATTCAATAATTGTTCCACATTTAATTTACTGTACTGAAGTCTGGGGTAAAGCATGTAAAACAATTACAAATTCAATTTTTGTTTTACAAAAAAGAGCCTTAAGAATTATCGCTAGAAAAGATTACAACCATCCACCAAATACATTATTTTGCAAACTGAAAATTTTGAAATTCTATGATTTGGTTGACTATAATATTTTACTGTTTATGTACAAGACTCACAGAAACGTATTACCTTCCAACATTCAGGTAAACTTTGTTAAGAGAGACAGTCGTTATTATCTTAAGGGGATGGAAATGTTTGTGAAGCCATATTTTCGTTCTTGCTTGAAAGAAAGCTGTACTTTAATCCAGGCTATAGTTTAATCCAGGGTATAGTTTAATCCAGGGTATAGTTTAATCCAGGGTATAGTTTAATCCAAGGTATAGGAATGTGGAATGGTCTGGAGGATGATCTTAAAAATGCCAGATCTATGTATTTTTTAAGAGACAGATAAAAGCTAGTTTTTTTGAAGATATATGAAAAGTAAAATGTGAAGCTATATGAATTGTTGTTTGAGCTGATGTTTTGTTGTTTTTTTAATTTAGTATTGTTTTGTAAATTATATTTCATTTGAATATATTCTGGGGATTAAGGGGGCAGACATTATAAGATTTATTCTTCTTCATCAGAATCAGGTTTATTGTCCAAGTATGCTTAAACACACAAGGAATTTGCAGTTTAGTACATCCTTCCGGAGACAAACACACAACATGGGAGAACGAATGTCCACGGTCATTCGCAACAACGTGCGCTACCTTATAGTGTTCAGAATACACACATATAGGAAGTGGGAGTTAAAAAAAGAACTTTGATCTTGTGTTTAACACACAGGAAAACACACGGTCATCGTACAAAAATCGTTCTGCTAACTTTCATTTTATTTTGATTTGTGTATTTTCTTTGTTTTTTATTGTATATAGTTATTTTTATAATGAAATGAATAAAATTTTTGAAACTGAATTGAAAAAAAAAGAAAAGAATTCCTTTGATCACATCCAAACACAGAAAACCTTATATCCTAATTTGTTTTGTGTGTTACAATTGTTAACAGGAAGATTCATGTATTTAGGGTGTTTCAAAATCTAAACATCTCCATCAAAGTGTTTGTGCAGGTCTACAGAACCACCATCCAGAGCCTCCTGACCTCCAGTTCAGTGTTTAGCTCTGGTTCCACACTAAACATCAACATGATCATCGAGCTGGGCAGTAACCTGAGGGGACAACACCAGCAGCTGATGATGGATCTGAACAGGTCCAGAGTCATGAGACGTGGAAGACAGCAGAGGATTCAAGCCACCTGATACAACACCCTTTTAAACTGTTGCCCTCTGGCTGAATGTTCTGTGCTGTCAGAAGCCTGCAGACAAAAAGCAATGTTTTTTTCACCACTGCTGCCTCCCTTCTTAATAACTTTGTCTTGTCCTGCACAATCATGAAAAACTCCTGCTTAATCCCTGTGCATTTGGAAAAATCCATGTGGTCGGTTCAAGATGTTTCCTTCTGGTGGGAGGCTGTGGTTCATCAGGACAAAAACCTCCAGAGACACAGCCTATAGTTGCCCTCTGCTCCTTCCTCATTCCTCTGGGATTGAAACTAGTGCCTCAGAACATACAGTGGGTAAAATAAGTATTGAACACGTCACCATTTTTCTCAGTAAATATATTACTAGAGGTGCTAATGACATGAAATTTTCACCAGA